CTCGTAGTTTTATTCTAATAGGTTTTTTGGTGGAATGTTTGGGGTTCTCTCTCTCTGTCATCTGCAAATAACGACAGTTCCATTTCTTCCTTTCCAGTTTAGATGCCTTTTACTTTTTCTTCTTTGGTTGCTGTGACTAGGACTTCCAATACTACACTGAATAAAAGTAAAAGTGGTGAAAGTGGACATCCTTGTCTTGATCCTGATCACAAAGAAAATGCCTTCATCTTTTCACCGTTGAGCGTGATGTTAGCTGTGGGTTTGACATACATAGCCTTCAGCATGCTAAGGTATGTTCCCTCTATCTCTACTTTGCTGAGAGCTTTTATTGTAAATAGAAGCTGGATTTTTCAAATACTATTCTATATCTACTGATACGATTTTTATACTTCATTGTTTGTGATGTATCACGTTAATTGACTTGTGGGTATTGAACCAACCTTGCATGCCAAGAATAAATCCCATAGTGATCTGTGGTTGGCTGCCACCTTGCTGAGCTTGGAGGCATGTGGGAGAGGCTAGCTACGAACCAAGGTCAACTGCCACTAGTGCCGGGATTGGGACCATTTAGCAAGAGGTACAGGGAAAGCTGAGGCCAGCTGCTGCCTGTTTGGGGTGTGTGGACCTTAGAGAGGTTTCAGGAAAGTCCACAGGCTGCGCCAAGCTGACCGCTTGTGTAGAAGAGCTGCTGGAAGAGGTTCAGGCTGGTGGGAGAGCTGACCAGGGCCGGCCAACGGTGTGAGCCAGGTTAATGGAGACAGACACAGCACTGGCTGGGCAGGAGGAAGCACCAACAAAGGAACAGTGGCATTGGTGGCACTTCCATCCCTGAACAGAGTTGTCCCCCGTGCTACCCCTCTACCCCTCACCCTTAGGTTAATCTATTTTCTCCTGTATCCCTGGTACTTTTCGAGCTGTTGTCCCTTCACTGGAGCTCAGGGCGAGTGGGTTTGTGAGTGTGTGTGCGTGCGTGGCCCTCTTAAGGGAAGCACCTCAGTCCCTAGCAGCCCCTCGTCTCACTCAGCCACCATCTCTGCTGGTTTTCACACCCACATGTTATGGGGACTCCTTTTTTAGCACTGGAGCCCTGGGCTGGGGAGCCCTCCTTCCTGTGGGAGGACCCCCACAACCGAGATGTCCCTCCCGATTCTTAACTGCCACACTGTGGATGTGGGACTGGCCCAGTCCGCATCTCTGCCCCTCCTACCAGTCTCGAGGTGGCCTCTTCTGTGTGTCCCCAGTTGTAGGATTTCTGTGCAGCTAGACTACAGGCAACTCCCAATGATGGCTGTTCCGTAGTTGTAATTTTGATGTGGCCGTGAGAGGAGGTGGCACAGCGTCTACCTGCTCTGCCATTGTGACTGGGCAAAAATGCACCCTCAAGATTTCACGACAGATTTTTAGCTTGTGCTTCATGAACACCCTAAAATAACAAGCTTTTGTACTGTGTGGTTTAACAGAAATTCTCAAAACACCTATTATCTGACAAAATATTTTTGAATATTGTCCTGAAACATTCCTCGTTCGTGAAATTGTCAGTTTTGCGAGGCTGGAGAGTGTTCACGGTCTGTGCCAGGTTTCAAAGCTGTTGTCGCTGCAGCCTTTTCTTCCTTGATCTCGGACTTGGTCTCTAACCGTCAAACACGGAAGAAAGGAAACCTGTGGTAGTCATCACGGAGCCTGGGATCTGCTTCCTGCTGGAGCAGATGCCAACCTGTCCCACATGGAGGAACGGCACGAAGTGGCCCTCTAGCCGTCAGGTCCACAAGCTCTCAGGGAGAGCGGGGGCATGGCAAGAGGAAGCACGGGGGGCTGCGAATCTGTGGGAGGAAACACCGCACAGGGCGAAGTGTCTGTTACACCCCAAGTCAGTGGCAGAGGGCTCTCTGTGCATGGCCCTGTGCAGTGGATGCCAGGGCTGAGAGTCCGAGGAGCAGCGAGCAGGGCCTGTCCCTCCGTGTCAGACTTTTCTAGCTGGCGAGCTGCAGCGCTTGCTCATCTCTGACCACGCTCTCCACGTGTTAAATGCCTGAAAGGCTCTGGGACACGATGGATGGGCCAGCCGTGGTTCCTGGCGTCGAGCTTCTATTCTAGTGAGGGGAGATGAAATCTGGCCATTTCAGAGACGGAAATCTAATGTGGTGAGCCGGGAGGAGGGAGTGGCCTCCCAGAGGAGGTGACGTGTGGGCTGAGCCCTGAGGAAGGAGGCAGACACAGCAGGCATGAGGCAAGGACGGTCGGAACACAGCAGCTGGAGGCGACGTCAGAGAGCAGCACGGGCCACGTCACAGATTCAGATCTAAGCGCAGCAGGAAGCCACAGGAGGACACGCTGTGACTCTGACCCGAGGAAAGATGACTCGGGCTACTGTGCAGAGGAGGGTCGACTGTCTGGGCCGCACTGACCCAGGTAGGAGCCGGGTGTCTGGACGAGGCAGGGCCTGGCGACATGGAGCATCAGAGGCAGTCGCGCTGTTTTGCAGAGACTCACTCAGCTCTTATAAAATACAGCCCCGTCTCCTTCACTACCGCTTGTCTGAGCCCTTGTTCCCACCCTCTCCTGTCCTTCGTCAGCCTGCTGTCACCTGGCTGCTGCGCTCCCCTCTTAGTCACCAAGCAGAAACACCCTTACTCTGGTCATGTGGCACCAAACATAGCCCATGTTTCCCTGGTTGGTGGAGTTTGTCTCGGGTGACAATGTCAGCCACTGGCCCTCTGTGAAACTCGGGCCCATGTCATGCACCTCTGCCCTTTCCTGGGTGGCTTCCCATTTCTCTGGCCTAATCTTTTTCCTAAAAGGACTCGGCCCATTTTTTAAATTTAAAGAGTTACGTAATGTGGACCTGAAAAGCGACCCCTTGATCACCTCTTCCAGGAAACCGCACCTGCGCGGTCACCCCGGCTCCTGTGGCATGAGATACATGTGTCGGGTACCAACATCCTAAAGCGACCTTTGCTCAGCTTTTCAAAGTTCCCAAAGCAATACAACTTCCAGAGAATGGGATGGCGACGTCAAACACCACAGACAGAAAAGAGCAAAGTGACAGATGAAGCGGTCCTCTGCACTAAAGTGACAGGCGTCCCATCACGTCAGAAACAGTCACCGGCATGCGGGCTGCTGCACAGAGCCACGCTCGCTGCTCGTGGTGTTCCCGTCACCACGTGCACTGGCCGTGGCTTCCAGACAATGAGTCCTGCCCTGATTTCACTGTTTGTGACGCACTAACACTTTGAAGCGGATCATCGTGAAGCGAGAAACTACGGTTTCGTAAAACGTGTTCACAAGGCTTCAGCTGGGGGTGTCAACAGTTTCCCCCAGGTTTTTC